ACTCTTGATCTCAGCTCAGGTCTCGATCTCAGGGTCATGAGTTCAAGTCCCGCATTGGGCTATGGGCTGGGTGTGGAGCCTATCTAGGAAAATAATAAATAAATAAATAAAACAGCATAGCACTAAGCAGTTCACGGTTCTTGAGTATAAAATTCAAGGTAGAGAATAAAAAGAAGTGAGAGTAAACAGGCAACTGGACACCAGAATACAGAAAGGCTTGTGCACCATGTAAGTGACTTGGATTCAGGCCGTTAAAGAATTTTGAAGAGGAGCGTGTCCTCATCAGACATGCTTGTCATATAGCTCACTCTGGGAATGGTGTAGAAGATGGATTGGAGAAGACCAAGACTGGAGACAGGGAGAGCCATTAGAAGGCTGGTGCAGAAGTAAGGCTCTACACCTGGGCTAAAGTGAGCCGTGGAAGGCTAAGGGGGAAAGCAGGATGAGGCAAGATCCCACAGTGGAAGGGAGGTTTGGGATGGACATCAAGAGATCTGAGTTTTGGTCCTAAATCTGCCATTAATTGGACCTCAGTTTCCCCATCTGTGAAAAGAAGGGATCCTCCCTGTTGATTACTACTGCTTCATCTTAACTATCACTATGTATGAAAAATCAAGTGTGTATTCTGGGAGTTCAGACCAAGACCTGCAGACTATTTCTCCCATCCAAGTACTAAGCAAGCCCCACCCTGCTTAGCTCCAGAGATCAGATGAGACCGGGCACATTCAGGGTGGTATGGCTGGAGACTGAAACTGTTTCTTAAGATTCTTCTGAATTCGAGTTGCCAAAGTAAGTCCCATATAGCAAATGCACTTGGGGAACCCATCCTGGTTACAAATCCAAGGCTTCTGCTAGGGAGCTCTGCTTCTTAAGCCGCAAATATCGGGGGAAAGATGTACTAGAACATTATATCCTTACCAGTCTGTGTGGTTTTTTAAAATAGTGGCTTATGGATCTTTAAAAAAAAAATCCCCTTTCCTTTTTGTTCCTTTCTGTTGAGATGGTTGTTTTTAAATCTTCCATCCTTTAAACTTTTCCTGTTGACGTTTGTTGTTTTGTTTTGTTTCAGATTCCGCCTCTCTTTGCCAGAGTCCAATCGCAGCAATATTGAGGTAGGAATCCAAGCTCTCAGAGTTCCCTGTCACGGGAAAAATGATAATTTTCCTATATAGGAGCTGGATGACTGTTTTCTTTCTTTTTTTTTTTTAGATTTTTTGTTTATTTATTTGAGAGAGAGAATGAGATAGAGAGAGAGCATGAGAAGGGGGAGGGTCAGAGGGAGAAGCAGAC